TTAAATAGTTTGCAAACTTATATCAGTAATTTGTTAATATATACGTAATGAAAATAAACACAAAGAAATGAAGAACCATAGCAAATAATAGTTTTAAATAACATAAGAATTTTTAACAACTAGGCAGAACTATATACAAAGATCTTTTCGTTAATTTCTCTCTTGAACCTAACAGCCATATTCTTCTTGTCATTCTAGAGAAACAGGCTAATCTTTGTTAAACATCCAAATCAAAGCTTCCGTTGATAAAGTTATTTCTTTTATAAACTCTTCTATTGTTTGTCATCCAGAAAACATATTTGTCATAGTTTCACAAAATTGTGCTCCAGAACACTCTTCAATACTCTAAACTTATTTAAGTGCATAACTAAATCTTTTTTTTTTTTGCCTGCTAGAAAATGGCATCTGTGATTCCAATTTTTTAAAGTTACCATTTAATAAGAAAGAATTGCCAACACATATACTAACCTCAATCAGCTTTCCATCAAAATATAACTGAACTGCTTTTTTATCATTTCTTATTTCGTTTTGAACAAAAAACTTCAAACTTACTGCATCTTTTTTAACTAAATTGCTTTTTATTCAGAAAGTTGAGGTGTAAGAAAATGGCAGCTTATAAGGACCCCTCTTGCCTTTCCGTCATTTTATTGGTTAATATGTCAATACTTTTAGCTGTTCTCGTCATTTTCTTAATACATACTTTTGTTGCAATAATGAATGTCTCTATTTTCTTTTTCTCAAATTAGGTGCATTTCATTCTTTGAATCAGATTCTGAAAATAAAAAATCTAGAGATACTAGACTTATATATTGAAAGTTGGTGTAAATATTCTCAAGAAATGCTTTTTTCTTCTTAATTCAATCTTTTTTCTTTTAACTTTCTAGCACAAATTGCTTATCTTTTTTTTTAAACAACTTGGCTTCCAACAAGGCTGCAAGCAACCACTAAATAGAGTTGAAAGTTACTAAAAGAGAAAAGATGAAGATTGAAGAGCAAGATAACGATTGACAGACGATTTAAAAGATTGCAAATTATATGAATCAGGAAAGCAAGATGAAGGAAGCAAATTCCAAAGAACTGATGTTTGAGGAAAAAAACTAGAGGAATAAGAGTTTTTGGCGCACTTAAGAACAGTCACATAAAAACAAGGAGACTAAATTGAATGACAAGTAATACGAGAATGAATTTTAGTAGATGGCACAAGAGACACTAGCTCTTTCGAGCAGTGCCCATTATAGTATTTGTAGAAAAGAGAAAGAGAAGCAACATTATGACGATGAGATAATGGTTGGGGGTTGGCTGCAAGAGCAGGTCCAACTATATTTACAATGCAATTTTGCACCTAAAAGAGAAAGGGCATCATTAGAAGATCCGTCCCAGATATGGCAACAGTATTCCATACAAGGCCGGATTTGAGATTTATAGAGATAGAGAATAGAATCCAGAGTAAAAAAGTGTCTAGCTCAATAAAGAGATGCAACTTTAGCAGATGCTAATTTTGCAACGGATTTGATATATAGTTTTCAAGAAAGATCAGAAGTAAAAGTCAATCCTAGAAGATAAGGGGTAGATGACTCATCAAGTACATTACCGTTCATAAATACAGGAAGGTCTAAATTAATATGATAACGATTGGCTGGAAAAAATTGAGTTTTATTTGAATTAAAGTTCACCAACCTTGAAAAACCTTGAAACCTTGAAAAAGGACATGCCACAAGTAACCTTCTGTATGAACTAGACCCTTCTTTCAAGTAAAGGAAGTGTTTAATAACATCAGCCCAGGTTTAAAGCTTTACTGAGGACATCTTTGCTGGCTTACCAACTAAGAAGCATTCCTTCCACAACTACTCTCTCTTTTCTTCATAGTTTGTTTTAACATTTTTATTTTTTAAATTATTAAACTTTAACATTTTTGTTTTTTAAAAGGATTCCTGATGTATACCGGATTTCTATTTTAAATTATAAAACTATACTAAATAAAAGGATTTTTAAAAATTTATTAAAATATTGATATAGAAAAAAAGATAGTTAACTCAAGGCTTTATCACTTTATGTGTAATATTTGGCATTTGTTTATTAACATGGAAAATTAAAAAATTAACAAAATTGACAAATACAAATTTTTCTAATAAATGCTACAATAATGCTACACTATTTTGCAACCTTTCATAATAATTCATATTTTGTCATAATAATTACTATTTTGTTAATAAAACAAAATACGAAATACATGTTTTTCAAAATAAATTTAATTAAATATTCCACATGGCTAAATAAGATAAATTTTGTGAATATGTGAAAACACCTGATGAAAAATTTACTAAACAATTATTTAGTTCAAGTTAATATTTCAATATTTACAGTTGCAATATAATAAAAAAAAAAGTTGTTCAATGCCAAACTTTTTATTTATTTATTTTTTACTTACTTTTGTTATAAAAAGACATTAAAACCATTTGTTTTAAATATATTTGCACATGATTATTTAAACTAAGTTTTTTTGTTTGACTTTCCGAACTTCAAGTAAATTCAGACAAAATATTGTCTAACCAAATAAAAATGCTGTTACTAATTTTATGTGGGTAATTATTATAAAACAATTTTTCATCAGAATTTTAATTGAGATAAATACTTCATCATTTATTAACATTAAATATAGCGCATTTACAATTTATAGCAACAAACAAGCATAAAATATTTATGGTTTTTATTATCTTTTTAAATTTTAAAATTAAAAAATAAATAACTAAACAAATAATGAAAATTTTTTTGAATAAAAATAAAAACTTTTGCAGAGTTTCAATTTGTCAAAAGTCTACCGTGACGTCAAATACTAAAATTTTTATGAAATAAACGGACTTCAAATGAAATTAAAACGTCTAATTTAAAAGGTAAATGTCAAATAAGGCAGTTTTATTTTCAAATAATTCTTTTATTAAAATATTTTTTTATTAAATTATATGGAAGTCGTATTTTCAAAAAACTTTTCTAATTAATTAGTTATTAGGTATATTAAAGATGCATATTGAATTTTATCAATTTTTTTTATTATTTCGAAACAACTTTTCACGCATTTGCTAAATGCAAGCAAATTAATGATAACTAATATATAATTACCTAAATATTAGTGATGTACCGATATCACTTTTTTGGCCGATGCCGATACCGATGGATGGGGAAAGGCTGATACCGATGCCGATACCAATGAATTTACTAATTATTAGAAATTTGAAAATATAAAACTATACAACTTTAAATTGGTACTGGTAAAAAAATACTTGGACTCAAATCAAAGCCAAACAATATTAGATATTAGAAAAACTCAGTTAAAAAAATAAACATTTAAATTTTTTTTCTAGTATGAAAAGAAAACTTTCAAAAAAATAAATACAATTTTAGAGAAACGCTTTTGATCTTAATTTAAAAAAAAGAAAATATGCATATGCAGTTTACTTAGAATTCTTGATCAATTTATTAGCAATTTAGATATCTAAACAACAATCATGTGTTGTTTAGACATAAACTATTTTTAGATTAACAAACTGTTTTTAGAATTATTTCAATTTGAAATGTTAGATCCCCACCATGCCCCTGGTAGTACAGCACTTAATTTGTTTCTACACACAGAGGCATTGTTCATCAAGGTTTTATGTTTCTGAGTTATAAAGTTGAAAGTGGGTTGTAACCATAACTAAAGTAGCTTTTCCAATTGAAGTGGCCTTCGTGGCCTTAGGGAGGTGAATTGAAATAAAAAAATTAAAAATTTAGAATTATACTTGATACTTGGCTATACTTAAATACATGAAATAAGGCTGAACTATTTGCAAAGAAATTCTTTTCTAATCCGATTCTCGAATCTTATGGCCATTCTCTTCCTTCCATTCTAATTAAACAAGTTAACCCATTGTTAGACATTCAAATTATTTCAGCTTCCATTGCTCATAATCTTATCTCGACTAAACTCTTCTATGGCTTGTGGTCCAGACAACATTCCTGTCACAGTCTAACAAAATTGTTCTCGATTTTCTTCAATTTTCTCTAAACTATTTAATAAGTACTTGACTGAATCTTATTTTCCTGCCTGCTGGAAAATGGCATTTGTTGTTCTAATTTTTAAAAATTACCATTCTGGTAAACTTATTGACCCCTCCGATTATTGTCCAATCAGTCTTCTTGCTGTTATTAGCAAGGTCTTTGAGTCTTTGATAAACAAATTTCTCACATTCCATCTTGAGTCAAATAACTTGCTGTCAGACAAATAACTATTGTAGTACTGTCGACATTCCTCTAATCCACTATGGTGAGTATGCAGGTGACCAAAAGATTTAGTAATTTAACATAATATAAAGGTTAACTGCCAATTTGTAAAAGGTAGGGTCCTGCCCCTAAACAGGTTTTTTTTTTAGACTAGATATGCAAATGTATATTTTATTCAAAAATATTCTTATATATTTTTAAGGAGATTGCAGAACATTTTTTAGAATTAAACATTTCAAAAAAAGTATTTAATACAAAGTGGTCAAATAAAGATAGGAACTCATTTTTCCCCTATAGCCATGATTAGCTATAGAATTTGTTATATACATGTCTGTATCACAATCAGGTCTCCAAATATTTGATAATCAATAAGAATTTCAAAATTTGTAAAAAAAAGGTGTTGATACAAGGTGTTAAAGATTTTTTTTAAAAAATCAAAAACATTTTTTGAAATGACTCAAATTGTCCATCTTTTAAGCTTGCATACACATTAATAAAACAAAATCAATAAAAAATGAACGCCTGTAATATATTATTGTCAAATTTAAGAAACATTATAAAGGATACGACTCAATAAAACTACTATAATAAAGTCTACAACTAAAATAATTTATAACTTAGACTTTTATCAAATTTTTTTCAAAAACATATTCAAAAAAACGCAAAGCCATTACTCTGTATCAAGTTGCACATAGCTAAAAACAAAAAACATAAACAAAAATTGTATTGGAATATCTATTTACCTCACATCATGGCGATAAATTCTAGATATTAGGACTTCTCCTTTGTGATTGTACACAAAAAGGGCACCAATCATTTTGATGTCAAAATAAGCTAAATTATGCTTCAATAATTGCTGATTGCAACATCCATTTGATATTATTCAATCTAAATAGTTTGTAAATTATTTTACATGATAATTAAAATACTTGATAGAAAAAAGTTTTACATACATACATACATACATACATACATACATACATACATACAAACATACATATATATATATATATATATATATATATATATATATATATATATATATATATATATATATATATATATATATATATATAAAACTTTATGCATGAGTTTACGCAATATTTTATAAGGTCGTAATGTTATAAAGTTTGATAATCCACAAAAAAAGGCTGATTTAAATAAAACAATTTAAGAATAATCTTTTAATAAATTACAGTAGAAATTTTTATGTTTTAACTCTCAATAAAATTTTTCACTTCTCCATACAGTATACAGCATCTCCATACTCCATACACTTCTCCATACCGCTTTAGCATATTATTTTAAATTGCCCTGAACAATTAATAGTTTTTCAACAACTCGCTAAAAAAAAGTAAAGTTTTACTTTTTTTTTTTTTAAGTTAAATCTTTACTTTTTCGCTATAACACTTTCTAAGAAAAAAGTAAAATCTTTGTTTTCTAGCAGGTCTTTACTTTCTATTTAATCAATTTTATAACTTAAAACAAAAAGTATTACATTGTTTTAACATTAATGATCTTAAACTTTTGAGATTAAATACAATTTAAGCAAAAGTATTGTGTTCAGAAATATTGTGTTCATATCTAAAGGTGTTTTGTCATTTGAAATTATCAAAAAATTATCATAATATAATTTATCAAAACATAGTACTATTTTTTTAATTGATGTTTTATCCTACTCATAGTTTCATGTTGTTTCATGTTTTATTTTTAGTTTCATGTTGTTTCATGTTTTATCCTACTCATAGTTTCATGTGTAATAAGTTGAAACAACTATACAAAAGATGTGAAATAACTAATAATAAACAAAATAGGAAATAAAAAAAAAATAGAAATATTTTATTGTTATAGTAATAGTGTATGATTTTAATTGTGTATTAAGAAGAGGTTTTTCCTCAATATGGATACCTTAATTTTGAGCTCATAATTGGAGGAAGCTCTGTCAATATTGGAAAAGCAATCAGGATTTGTTAAATATTTGCATTTTTGTGATGAATTAAGATGTTTGTAAATATGGGAAGACTTATCTGAATTTACAATAATATGGCTTCCCATATTTACAAACATCTTAATTCATAACAAAAAAAAATTTGTATAATCTTTTGATAAATTTCATGATAATTATTTTATGTAACTATGGTAACTATTGTAAAAACTATTAAGTTTTTAATGTAGCGAAAAAAATTGTTTATATACAGATATTGTAACTAATTTTTTATACCTGATAATGTCAATTGATATTGATGAAACATGTTGTCAAAAAGTTTTTAAAAAATTGTTATTTATTTGAAAATTATTACTAAATTAGTGCTACTTAGACCATTTGGATATATATATATATATATATATATATATATATATATATATATATATATATATATATATATATATATATACATATATATATATGTATATTCCGACAGTTTAAGGCTAAGAAAAGGTGTTTGTGGTAGAAAATGGCGCTTCACTTGTTTGTGGTATTGAAATCAAGGTTAGATTATTTTAAAACGCTTTAAAAAAAACAAGCGTCTTTTAAAACATTCTGTATAAATCAAATAGCAAAAAAATAACAATTTTTTTTTTTTCAATTTTAATTAAAATAAAGAAAATAAAAAAAAAACAAAATAAAAAATTGAAATTCTCAATAAAATAAAGAAAATAAAAACAGCAAAACAAGCTTTTTATTTAAGTTCTAAATAAAATAATTTGTATATATAAAAGTGTCTTTATGATTTTTTATCAAAGTATTTGATAAACAAAAATTATTTAATGCAATTTTAAAAAATCCTTGTACATTTTTGATGCGTTTTTTTTCAACTGATCGCTAAAATATTTGTGTGTTAAGGCTAGTACGCAAAAAGGCACTAAAATGATGGCCAAACAGAGAAGACTGATATTATATATATATATATATATATATATATATATATATATATACATATATATATATATATATATATATATATATATATATATATATATATATCCTTATAGTGTAGTCAAAAGAGACTTTTATGGTAAAAAAAAAAGTCTATATATATATATATATATATATGTATATACATATATAAAGTCTATATATATATATATATGTATATACATATGTATATATATATACATATATATATATATATATATATATATATATATATATATATATATATATATATATATATATATATATATACATATATATATATACATATATCTATATACATATATTTTTATTTATTTATATACATATATGTATATATATATATAAATTCTTATATATATAAATATATATATATATACATAAATTTATATATATACATATATTACATATATAATATATGTATAATATATATATTTATGTACATATATGTATGTATATATATAAACTCTTATATATATATATATATATATATATATATATATATATATATATATATATATATATATATATATATATATATATATATTATATATATATATATACAATATATATATATATATATATATATATATATATATATATATATATAGATATATATATATATATATATATATATATATATATATATATATATATATATATATATCTATATATATATATATATATAATATATATATATATATATATATATATATATATATATATATATATATATATATATATATATATATATATATATATATATATATATATATATATATATATATATATATATATATATATATATATATATATATATATATATATATATATATATATATATATATATATATATATATATATATATATATATATATATATATTATACACACTCTTTATTCATATACGCACAAAATAAATCGGTAAACAAGTGCCATTAAATCCGCACACCCTGCCATTTTCAAACTTGTCGTTCCGGTGTTGGACTTCAGTTCGAGGCTGTTGATTAAAAATAAAATAGAACAAGAAGCCTTAATGTATCAAAGCTCTGATCAGAGCTTTAGTACATCACTATATGTAGACAGTAATCGGATCAGAGCTATAGACCATTAAATTACTTCCATAGCTTTGTTAGCTGATAGAGTTTTAAAGAGAAACTTGTTTCTTCTAATAAAATAAACATGCCCTAATTGTTATTGTTAAATACATATATATCTTTATAAGATGTTTGTTTTATTTAATTGCATCTTTTATTACTCGACAGATTTTAAAGTTTGTTCCTCTAATTTTACTTTGCTTTTTCTCTTCCTTAATTAAATTTTAATTTTGCATTTATTATATTATTCAAATCGCATATATTATTTAATCTAATAATGACTCGATAGGCGTAATTTTTGCTCCATGTTTCTTGATATTAAAGAGTGTTTATTTTTTAACATAATTTGGCATTGGTTTTAAAGAGATCAACAAAAGAAAAAAAAATTATCCAAGCTTACGTACATGTTAAAGCTATGACATGTACATTAGTTTGATTTATTTATTTTTTTCGCTTCTTGAGACTTTAGAGTCTATAAGTTATTAATTTTTTTTTTTCAACTTTTAATAATTTTTAATATTTTTTCCAGAGCTTGAAAAAAGTATTACCTTTTTTAATAAAAACAACACATCAAACAAGAAATTCTCTTATTATAAGATTAAAAAGTTTTTTTTTTTTTTGTTGAGACGTTTTATTTTTCTAATCTCAACAAATTGAATAAAACACTTTTTTTCTTAAAAAAAGAAACAGAGTTATCATAGATTTAATATTACTGTTATCATTTAATCTTATCGTTGTAGTTGATGTAATGATAGCAATGGTATCATCAAAGTCACACTTCAATAATATTATACGAGTGGAATATCTGAAACTTAAACAATTACTTTGTTGTTCGACTTTTTAAAACCAACCGTTTACACTAGTAGTTTGACAATTTACCACTAGTAGGTTTTTTTTGTTTGTTTTTGAAACAAAATAATGCAATAAACAAGCATTTTGTTTTTGAAAAAAACTTTTTTATTGTAATGTAGACAACACATGCCTTTAATTCTTAACTTTATTAAAGTTTATTCTAGTATATTAGAACAAACTTGATTACTAATATATTATACCAAGCTATATGAATTGGTATTTGTTTAAAACTATTCTAATTTTGTTAGGCATAAATAAAAGGTTATTGTTTATTAAACAATTAAAGCATAAAAAGTATTTAAAAATAAGAAGAAACTGATCTTGAATTTTAAAAGAATAAAGTGTTTAATGATCTTAGCTACAAAAAGGGTATATGCGTTTAGTAATCGACAGCCAGATTAAATATTTTGTCTTCCACAGACAAAACTCTTTTAAAAGATTTTCTTTACGATGAGTTTGATATTCAGTTTAAGCTCATCAAACCAATTTGATGGTTTACTATTACCTAACGCAACTACACATACTTACACATACATTAGGCTAACGTATGTAAAAATATTGCAAAAATGTATCGTTTTTACAATCTAAACCTAAGGTTGACCCAAAGTATATAATCCAACGTTGATTTACTGTATATGTATCAACGTTGAATTAATCTATACAACCCAACTTTGCAAGTACACAAGTATAACTTAAATAAAATCTACCGTGAATATTGAAATATCAAACCACAAGCAAAACAATTATGATTAATGTGTATATATATATTTAATCTAATTAATCAAATTCTTGAACAGTAATTTCATAATCGCCGTTTCTTATATATATATATATATATATATATATATATATATATATATATATATATATATATATATATATATATATATATATATATATATATATATATATACGTGTACATTCATTTATATATATATATATATATATATATATATATATATATATATATATATATATATATATACACACATATATATACACACACATATATGTATATATATATATATATATATATATATATATATATATATATATATATATATATATATATATATATATATATATACACACATATATATACACACACATATATATATATATATATATATATATATATATATATATATATATATATATATATATATACACATATATATATATATAAAATATATATAAAATATTTTTATTTTATTATTTTGTAATTAAAAAAATGAAAGAATGCACGTATTGTTTAAATTTAGTTAGTGTTTTTTTATAGCTCTTTTAAATATATCAATAGATTAAATTTAATTTTAATTTTTATATATTTAGGGCTTTATTTCCTTGAGTAACGGGTCGGCACTTTCGTATCTATCCATGCCCGAAACTAATCGACTTGCTTGCTGGTTTATATAAATAGTTTTTAGAAAAGATGAGTGATTGTTTGCCCAGGCAATATTACAATACTTAATATGACTATGTATAAACAAAAAATATAAATTTTTTAAACATATTTTATTCAAAAGAGGTTTAGTCTTATACATTATCCCTAAAGTCCCAAAGACTTTATTTGGCTTTTCCAATTTAAATGTTCGTCGAAAGTATATTATAACTATATAAAGTTTAAACCCCCCTCACTTTGAGGGGTTTACAAATTCTTTGAACGCTTACAAATTTTTGAACGCTTAGAGATTGTAAAACAATACTTAAAATTTATCGATGAATATAAATTTAGTTAAGAATATCAACTTGTTATTTTCACGTTTGGAGCAAAGAGATTATATTTTGGGCTTTTTTTGTTCCCAGCCTCCAATTATTGCAACTTTTTAAAAATCACCATTATTTGACATAAGTATAAACATACAAATATTTCAAGTAATATCTCAAACTCCAAAAAAGGCTAAATCCGTTACTGCCATAGATCTCTTGTTTCTGAAGCAAATTTGCTTCAGAATTCAGCGTTTAAACGCTGCAAATGTGCAATAAATATTCATATACATATAAATTTTCAGCTTTAGACAAGAAAATATGTAAAAAAATTAATTTTTAGATGAATTTTAAAGATTAAGAGTTTACAATTAGATCAAAATTCAATTTACCAGAAGCATTCAAAAACTAGAAAGCGAGGAAGCTGTCTCCATAGCTCCTTGAATCCACTCTTCTTCTTTTTTTAATGTTTTTTTTACAAGAACTCTTTATTTAAATTAGCTTTTGAAGTAGCTTTTCCATTAATTTTCTTTGAAGAAGCTTTTCCAAGCTCATCACACTGTCATTAGCATTATCTTGAATAAATTTTAATGTAAGCACAGCAAAATTGAACTTTTTATTACGAAATATTTTTAAAACATGAAATACGTTTCTTGTTTTAAGAAATAAATATCCGACTCTGTATTTTACTTTTAAAATAAATTTTTTAAACCATGCTTAATAGATTTACAATTTTGCTGTGAGTTCTGATATGTTGTTAGCAACTTTGAAAGATTTTAAAAGTTTGGAATTCAATGTACCCAAAAAGTCTGAGGAAGTCTTATCCGTAGGCATTTTTCAAACTATAACTCAAGACCTATTGGCTGGTCTTTATCAACAAAAACTGCTTTCAAAAGGATTTCAGTTTTGATTCTATCCGTTTTTACATCTTTGTAAAAGATGTAAAAACGGATATTTGACCTCCCTTTGTTTTTGAATACAGAACTTTTTACCATTTTTATATTGTTATTTCGGTCAAAAGATGCTAACGCCAGCACCAAACATTTCTATGGTTTTACCATGATTTGAGTTTCACATCTGCAGCAGACTCAATATACATCTGCCAATAGTCTTGTTGATCTTAAAAATGTAAATGAAAAACAATACAATGTAGATAAAACAAGGTTTAAAATAGGGCCCTGTGAATCACTTTTTTTAGTTTCGAATCAAATCACAATTCGAAGCAGGCCTTGATTTGTAAATTACATTGAACCACGAATCCAATCAGCATTTTGGGGAAATCTAAGTTTAACTAAAATATTGATATCCTTAAAATGCTGATTTGATTTTAGATTCAATTTGATTTGCGAATCAATATCTCCTTCAATTAGTGATTTGATTTGATACCAAAAAAAGTGATTTGCAGGGCCCTAGTTTAAAATTACATTGCTAAATACTAACTACATTTATTTTTGACAAGATAAAATCAAAAAGCTATTTCTATTAACTTCATTTTTATTATATTTCTACTAATGTAAAAAAAGTCTGTCATTAGAAAAAAAAATTGGTTTAGAGTGATTTTCTTTGTATTTTACATCTGCTTTTAAACTATTGTTTTTAAACAATTTGTTACTTTATGACATAAATTATTCTTAAGTAATAAGACTAAAATATCAACACTTACGAAATGAAGTTTTATTTTAAAAATTGCAGAATTAAAACAGTTGCAGGTCAATAACCGCGATTCCCTGGAGAGAGAAATTTAGTCAGCCACTCTATTGATCTCTTTGAGTACTTTTTTTTTTTAATTTTTTAAATTTTTTATTTGCATTCACTCCCAACAAGGCTGCAAGCAACCACTATTAAGTTGGGAGTTACTAGGAAAAAAAAAGAACAGAGTTATAGAGCAAGGAAACGGTTGACAGAAGACTTGAAAAGTTGAAGGTTGTATGAGTCAGGAAAACATGAAGATGGGAGAGAGTTCCAAAGTATTGAAGTGCGGGGAAAAAAACTAGATGAATAAAAGTTTTTAGAGCATGCAGGGACAGATACAGTAAACGAATGAGACTTAGCTGAATGACGAGTAAAACGAGAATGAATTTTAGTTGATGGAACTAGAGATGATAACTCCTTTGAGCAGTGACCATGATAGTATTTGTAGAAAAGAGAAAGAGATGCAACTTTACGACGATGGGAAAGAGGTTCAAGCTTAGCAGATAGTCCAGCTCCAACAACATTTACAATGCGTTTTTGGACCTTGTTAAAAAGAGAAAGTGAATCGTCAGAAGAACCAGCCCAAA